CCCCTCCTCTCCTCTCCTCTCCCCTCATCTCCTCTCCTCTCCTCTCCTCTCCCCTCCTCTCCTCTCCCCTCCTCTCCCCTCCTCTCCTCTCCTCTGAGCATGAAAGCATGTGGAGCCTCTGTGAGTTCCTGTTCCTCTCAGACCAGCTCAGAGCAATGAGAGTCTCTGAGTCTCTGAGTCTCTGAGTCTCAGAGTCTCAGAGACTCAGAGACTCTGAGACTCTGAGTCTCTGAGTCTCAGCCCAGACTCCTCTCCTCCCCTCTCTGAGTCTCTGAGTCTCTGAGTCTCTGAGTCTCTGAGTCTCAGCCCAGACTCCTCTCCTCCCCTCTCTGAGTCTCAGCCCAGACTCCGGGGAGCTGAGATCAGCCTCGCCCTCAGCAGCTGATCGCACTGAACTCTTCTAGAACGATCCTGAAGCAAAGCATCCAGAGTGGGGGATGGGCTGTAATGGAAAGGGCTCGAGGACTGGCTCCTGCCCCACGCTGTGATCTGTGGTCCCGTATGAAGTGCATAAGAAGTGCACATGAAGAGTTGTGTGTGCTGACGCCCTGAGAGGAAGAGGAGCAGAAAGAGGAAGCAGAGGCAACCTGAAACACTGGTTGTGTAAAAGCTCTTTCCTCTCACAGCGAGGCTCATCGTGTGAATCTCAAACACATCGCAGCACTTTATTGAAACCCCATGAATCATCAGCACACGGTTTAGAAGTTAGAGAACATCGACTTTAAGTGGAATGGATCCACAGAAACATCAGCAACCAGCAGCTGTGCCAACATGTGGTGTCACAACTACTAACTGAGTGAAGTTATACAAACAACGCAGCTGATGCTAACTAGGTGATGCATTCAGGCTCTTCTATTAGCATTGGGTGAAAGTCAACTATAACCTTATCATGATGTGTTCAATGTCATCGTGTAAAATGTGGTTGTTCGGGGAAACTTGAATAAATTCAGTTGTTTTGACGCCGACATTAGAGAGACTTTGGACCTGGTTTCACCTCTCACAGAAA